GGGAATTCTCTAAACTGCTGATCATGTACAATAGGACTTATCTTAGCGAAACCACAGCAATGGTTTCACAAGAGGCAGCTTATACAAACTGTTTTCATGATAAGAATTCCTCAGAAACTCTTTTTCTAAAGGAAAAGATAAGCTCTTAAGCAGAAAAATGAAGCAACATTTATACAAATCTTCTGACTGGGCCTTTCAGCTTTTCTGCACAGCTCTGCTGAAGAATGCCAGCTCCAGAGGGTGGATCTCATGAGTCAGCAATAGGGATCCAGCTGTGAATCGTGTTAAGATCTTAAGATCTCCAGGAACAAATCCTTTCCTTGGCTCACACTTCTTCACCAGGCATGTCAGGGATGCAATAAATGCTACGGGAATGATACAGACTCTTGGCATTCCATGGCATAGCTGCTTGATCCAACCTAAAGGATAACTTTTTCCTTCTTTCCATGAGAATAGCCCATTCATATTTTTTGCATATTGCTAACAAAATCCAATCACCCTTAGCTTAAATGTCTTTTAGAATATAAATGCAATCAATACTCATTAAGCCAATGTTTGTGTGTAGTGAATATTCATTGAATGAATGAATGAAAATAGCCACACATGTAGTCCCAGCACTTTGGGAGGCCAAGGCGGGTGGATCACGAGGTCAGGCGATCGAGACCATCATGGCTAACATGGTGAAACCCCGTCTCTACTAAAAATACAAAAAAATTAGCCAGGTGTGGTGGCAGGTCCCAGCTGCTGGGGAGGCTGAGGCAGAAGAATGGCATGAACCTGGGAGGTGGAGCTTACAGTGAGCCGAGATCACACCACTGCACTCCAGCATGGGTGACAGAGCAAGACTCTGTCTCAAAAAAAAGAAAAAGAAAAAGAAAAGAAAATAGCCACACAGAGTTTACAGTCTATAAAGGTGTTAAGTTACATCAGTGTCTTCTGCTCTTTTTGGGTTACATGACCCGTATGTTAAAAACAGTAAACAACCCCCTAAAATATATGTGTATTTGCATAGGTTATTCAGATGTATCAATGTTTTATATATGTGAAAATACATACAAAATGTAAATTATGAAGTATAAGATAAAAAAGAAACAATGCTTTTTAAGTAATTGTGTTATTAATGATAAAATGTTATTCTTACTAAGCTCTTTTTACACACTATTAGTATTAGTGAGAACAATGCACTTGAAAATACTTTGTTTTCAAATCTTGGTTTAGGACTTTGTAGTATACTCATTGGAGGGTCCAGTTCTAAGTTGGATTTGTTTGCTTGCTTGATTTTAATTTCTATCAGAGGGAAAAAAAGATCCTTCATAGATTCATATGGAAGGCATGCACCATTGGTCTCTCCTACTAAATTATAGTATTCATTATTGTCATGGCCAGGGTCAGGTTCCAGCCCATGCTGAGGTTTGAGGGAGTGCGTAGATGAGCAGAAAGAACACTCAGGGGGCCGTAGGCAGGTGAAAGATGATTTTATTCAGCAGCAGTTGTCAACAGCTTTCTGACTCTGTCTGTCCTGTCTCAGCTGCTTAGTGGCTCCCACACACATAGCTGCATGGCTGGTTCTCCCTTGCCTTCAGTGTCAGCAACTTAACTCTTTCTCTGGGCACTAGCGAGCTGACCTGTGTCCTGGCCTCTGCTCTGTCTGCAAAGATGGACAGCTCTGACTGTCTCTCTCTTTCTCTGGGCGCCAGTGCACCTGTACAGTGTCAGCAGGGCAATTATACCTTTTACAGACAATAGCGACTTAGAGCCAAGGGATGGCTTTCCTATGTTATGGCTACATGGCTGTGATAACAAGTGGAGTTACACACCTGTGCTCTAAACTCGCTAAGTCACTCTGGATGTTTACCTCGGTCTGTCCTTGACCAAAGCACAGCCATGTTCCTTACAATTATTCAGTCTTATTCACCAATTATGCAAAAGTATTTGTGAAAATTCAGCTAACATTTTCGATATTCTCTGATACCAAATTAGTTTTCGTGCAAAGAAATTAGAAGTTGATGTTTTTACATTTTTAGCAAATGTGTTCAAAATTCACTATGTAAATGACTTAAATATTAGAAAATTCAGTTTCCAAATTCTTTAGTGTGAAAATAAGAAAGTTTTTGTGGGTGGTGCTTTGTCATTTCAACAAAAATTCATCATAATGAAAACATCTGTTTTCACAATGTTCTCTTCACAGCACAAAGCTTTCTGAAGAGCAGTTACTTTCCCATTCATTGTTAAATTGCCACTTTTGCATAAAGAAATAGATTAGATGTATTTATTTATTTCCTGCTGGATAGAATTCTACCAACAACTATTTGTCATTATTTAAAAGGTCAGAAATTGGAAAATATGGTATTTTTGTAAAGGTAAAATTAGCAGCACATCTTCATATACGACAGCTCTTTAGGACACGGACACAAGGTGACCAGCAAACCTCTCTGTGAAAATGATTTGCATGATCCATACCAAATAACCTGAAGATTTTATTATATTGTCAATGATCTTATTTTTATACAATAAATACCAACCCTAACATTTTGTATTTCTTTACGCTCTCACTATTCCAAGAGTAGTTCATGGACCAGCAGTGCCGGATCGCCTGGGAACTTGTTAGAAATGCACAATCCCAGTACAGGCCAGCCCTCCTGAATTACAATCTGCATTTTAACAAGATCCCCAGGTGAACCATACGCACTTTCAGGTTTGCGAGTACTGCCCTATGAAATTCTGCCTTCTACTTCTTTGCCACAGTAGCTTGTTAAGGAAAAATGAACTAAATGAATTTCACACATGGGACAACTCTACAGCCTGACTTTGGAATCCTTTTTTTTCTCCAATCAAACCACCTGCTCCACTGGAGGTAATATTCAGTTTTCAAGATGTCATTTTCTGTGGAGAATCTGTTTTCTTTCATGCCTCTTTTTTTTATTGACTCACAAAATCAGTTCTTCTACAGCCATTATGGAAACAGAACCTAGCAATACCATTCATTTAGATAACATCTTTTCATCCCCAAGTCTTAAAACCTCCCACTCTTGTTCCAGACACATTTCTTCTAAACTTTAACAATATTTTCTATGCATCTTTTAATATCATTGGCTGACAAAGTAATTCATTTCTGTGTGCGGCCATATTCTTTTCCACATCTGATTTCAGTTATTTTCACAATAGAAGGAAGAACTAGAAAAAAGATGTGTGGCCTTTTGCTTCCTCTAAGTAAGAAGGCTTTAAAGATCCTTCTTTATTGTAGTTTAGTCGCATTTTTAAAAACACTGGATTGGGTACTACATGACCTAGGCTATTGCTGAGGCAATTGCAGAAGTTTGTATCTGGGTTCTGAATGCTTAAAGTTTTCATGTCCTGCTAGTTATGACAACTTCAGGTACAACGTGCACTTGGGACCATTTAATGATAGTTAATGATAGTGGATATAAATACGTATTTTAAACAGTAATCTTCTTCATCATTTCAATTTTTTTTCCCCTTTAGCTGACTTCTCTGAAGTGATCACATCACCTCACCACTGTGTCACTTTGCAGTGTAGCTGACCAAGAGCTTGTTCTTGTGGTGGGCTGCTCATCAGCCCAGCCATTTCCCATTTCCCTGTTGCTTTTGGTCAGTGGCAGATTAGCAGACATGACACAAGAAGGGGCTGCAGATGGGCTTGGGCATTGGAGCTTACTCTCTTGCATCTACACCAACACTGTGAGGAAAACAAGCCTGGGCAAGTCGACCGATCCCAGTACGAGGCCCTGTGTAGCAGATGAGCTGACAGCTGCTGGAGTCCCAGGTAAGCTGACCACTGTGGAGCCCCAGACAGGTGAGTCCAGCCAAGATCAGTGGAGCTCCTTAGCCAACCCTCAGTTGATTCCAGTGGTGGGAGCATCAACATGTATCGGTGTACTTGCCTGGGTCTTTGTGGCTGTTAACTGGCACTAGGTCTGTTCTCCTGTCCAAGACCAGCAAATCTTCCAACTGCTGTTTTTTGCAGGAAACTTTCAAAGTCATGTGTTCATTTTCTGACAGTTTAGTTAAAATTAGACACTAGATTCCATCAATGCCCCTGACGGGGAATACATCACAACACACTGAATTGAAAGAAGGGGGAGCAACTCATCTAGACCCCTGATTTATGTAAGTGCAAGATCCACAGGTGATAACTACAGACACCTCTGTACACTGAAGGTTTATAATTCGCAGTGCTGTGCTTTAGTGTTTCAGAAGCAAAGCGAAGTATTTATAGAATGGTTCTGCCTGAAAATAGAGAGGAGGGAGAAGGGCAGGTGATGATAACTTTGGGGAATGTCTGAAGCATATGGGGAAAGCACTCCCCATCACAGAATCAACATTTTGCTCCCTACCTTTGTGGTTTAGCCCTTGAAAACCTGGCTTCATTGATCCACAAGCTCATTTCTTGCCCTTCCAAGTATAATATGGATATCAGCCAGAGCTGTCTTTTCCTCACTTTTGCAGACACTCCTGTCTCCCCACCCTACTCTTTAAATTAAACTCTTTCACAGTCCAGTAATCTTCTCTCATAAACAAGCTTTGGAGAGAACATTTTTTTCTTTTGCCCAGGAGCAGATTCCACCAACTTCATTGAGGTGGTGGAGGGCTTTCCCCCTTTCAAGAAAAGCAATAAAGCTGACTTTGCTGTCATTAAGTTTTATAAGGTGATGCTGACCCTATCATGAAGTGTTCTCATCTAGGCTGACTTTGCTCATTAACCACAGTTGAGTGTTAACCTTTCCGGACATAAATAATACAGCAGCACCTTGATCTGCACGAAAGAGGAGCGAATGGCTAGGCTTTGTCTTTTTCCCTTGGATTCTTACAAACCGCTTTTTCTTCTTGTGTTTGACAAAATGTCAAAACTGTATTTCCCTTTATCTGTGTTAAGATATCTGTGACCTCATGCTCTCTGCCATTTAACTTTGCAATGTGTGGGTGGACTGACCTGATACTGGGCTCAGCCACATGACTTGCTTTGGTCAGTGGGAGATTAGCAGGCATGATACAAGGAGAGGCTGCAGATGGGCTTGGAAATTGGAGCTTGCTCTCTTGCATCTCTGCCATTGCCATGAGAATAAACAAGTCCAGGCAAGTCTACCCATCCCAGGAGGAGGCTGAGGGTCTTGTGGAGCAGATGAGGTTCATCCAGATCAGATGACAGCTGTGGAGTCCTAGAGAGGTGAGTACAGCCAAGATCAGTAGAGCCAGTTAGCTGACCCTCAGTCGATTCCAGATGTGAGGGCATCAACATGTATTGGTGTACCTGCCTGGGATTTTGTGATTGTTTTTAAACTGGCACCAGGTCTGTCCTCCTTACCAAGGTCAGTACCTCTCTCTGCATCCAGGACCCAGGCAAGCCCCCCATCTCACCTTCTCACATATACCCCTCTAATCATCACCCCTTCTTCCTTCCATCTCATGAATCTTTGCCTCTCTATTGGCTAATTCTCATGAGCATTTGAATCACTTCAAGTCTCTTCTATCATTTAGTTTCTAAATAATTGCCTTCTATCCTGTCATTCTCCTCTGGCACTTATTGCCTCCTCTTTCCATGTCCTTCACACGTGGAATCTTGAAAAAGTTGTTCTTACTCTAAATTCCACGTTTTCACCTTCCATTCACTCTGCAACTCACTGCAGCTGTGTTTCCTCTTCCATTGTGCCACTGAAACTGCTTTTACCCAGGCCACCAATGATCTGCTTACCATTGATGACAGTGGACACCTCCAGTCATTCTTTTAAAATTCCTCTTTCATTTTGTATGACCTCTTTGTCGCATTTGACTCTGTTGACAATCCATTTGTTTCCAAAGCCTCTCTTCCCATGGCCCCATGGCCCCTCTGGCAACATGCTCTCCTAGGTCTTCTACTCCACTGATCCTCAGGCTGCCTCATGGGCTCCTCACCCTCATTCCATCCCTTTGATATTGGTTAGTTCCCTAGGGCTCTGTTCTAGGATCTCTTCTCCCCATACCAAGGGTAATTTCATCCATATTTCATTGCCTACATTACCAAGAATAAAATGATAACTCCCAAATCTCTAAGTCCTGCCAGTTCCCTGTCCTGGGCATCAGATACATATATCTAAGAGTTTAATTGGATATCCCAAAGGCAAACATGACATATCTAAAATTTAATTCACCATTGTTTTCCTTAAACTCCCTCTTCCCCTTTTGTTCACTATCTCAGTAAGTGATACCATTTCCCACCCAGTGGTATAACCCAAAATCCCTTTAGCTTCTTTCTTTCCTCCTCTTCCATATTCAACCCATTTCTGTGTCCTAATTTTACATTTCTAGCATATCTTCCGTCTGTTCACTTCTTTCTATCCCATGTTAGATATCTTAGTTCAGGCCACTTGTATCCTTTGGCTTATTTGTTGCTTTACCAGACTCCCAACTCGCCCTCCATGTCCACCTCTCCCTGTTCCAATTCATTTCGCACCCTGCAGCCTACACCATCTGACATGGTTTGGCTGTGTCTGTACCCATATCTCATCTTGAATTGTAGTTCCTATCATCCCCATGTGTCATGGGAGGGACTGGTGGAGGGTAATTGAATCATAGGGATAGCTACCCCCATGCTGTTCTCATGATAGTGAGTTCTCACAAGATCTGATGGTTTTAAAAGGGCTTTCCCCCCTTTGGCTTGGGACTCCTCCTTGCTGCCATCATGTGAAGAAGGACTTGTTTGCTTCCCCTTCCACCGTGATTGTAAGTTTCCTGAGGCCTCCCTAGCCATGCTAAATTGTAAGCCAATTAAACCTCTTTCTTTTATAAATTATCCACTCTTGGGTATGTTTTTATTTGCAGTGTGAGAACAGACTAATACACCATCTTTCTAAAATGGATATCTGATCACATCATTCCCCTGCTTAGAACCTTTTAAGGGTTTTCCATTTTCAAGAATCATACAAGGTTCTTTGTGATCTGGATCCCTGCTTACTTCTCCAGGTTTTACCTCTTGATATTCCCTTCCTTGAACTAGTGGAAGCCATAAATAGCTACTTGGAAGTTGCTGAAGGACACCCCGTTTTCTCTCTTCTTGCAGATTTTTATACCTCTAGCTCTATCTGCCTGGAACAACCCACATCCCATGCTTGCCCTAGCAAGTCAGGTAGGAACCGTTCCTGTAACCACCACATGCACTGGCATAATACCCCCTGCCTCCCTTTCCACTTATTCCATCCCTTTGCACTCAGTGGCCTCTTTCCTAGGCTATCATCTATGTGTGAGGTCCTTGAGATAGGGATTGTGCCTTGGTTATCACTGTATTCTCAGGAGCCACCACATTTGGGAACATAGTAGGTGCTCAATAAACACTGGTTAACTGAGTGACTGAGAAAGGTAAATACATTAATGAATATGCACATGAACCATAGACTTCTCACCTGAAAGCTTCTCTACTTTGTATACTGTAGAGCTAAGACCTTTTAGTTTCTCAAAGATTTCCTCCTCTTGCTTATCATCTACAAATGAATTTTGTCCTAACTTTATTGGCACTATCTTTAGGTCCTATAAAAATGTCTTCAATTCCTTTTACTAGCTATCTCAGAGTAATAAGCTTCTCAAGTTTCCCCTCTCTCTAATGACCGCCATATGGGGACATGATACGCTAATGCTCACTTCAATAAGCTGAAGTTATTGTTAAACAAACTGAACTACCTCCAGCTCACCTCCCATTTTAAAGGGCCCACTAAAATTGATTATGTGAAATAGGCTTTTAAAAAATATCCTCCTTAAGTAGAAAATATAAACAGGGGAGGACTGTTAGCTCAGAAAATGTAAGCCTATTTGGAGACCCAGTTTACTTAACTTGACTGAACAGGAGGTAATAGCGCCCATTGGCACAGTGCAGTCTGAACCTGTTTTTGTCCACATTAATGGATTCAGAGTTATCAAAGATTCTGATTTAAAAAAATGGCTGCAGCTTCAGCTTTGACTATCTTTGGGAGTGACTCACCTATGACATGGCACATTCATGTGTCTATGTGATGGAGGTAACAGTGCACACAACCACTGTAGCATGAAATGTTTTGTTCATTTGTGCCATGTTTCCTCAATACTAATAAACCAGAGTATCACAATTCTACATCTAAAGACTTATTTATGACTGCATAAAAGCTGTTGCTATCACAAGGATTATATCAATTTATACATACAAGACACAGACAGATACACACATATTTATATAATATTTATCATGTGAGCCTTCTGTGTACTGTCTTCTAAGGCTATAAACAGTAAATAGCCTTAGACTGAGCATTTTTCTACATCCCCATTTGGGGTCATTTTAGGAAATGAGAGACCTGGGATCATAATCAAAAAAGAATCCAAGGCTGCATGCAATTCAGTTTCAAAATGAAGAAGACAGCTCTGATTCTCTAGCTTTTGTTTATAGACTTCTTGAACTGTGGTCACTCAGCCAGACGGCTTCCTTGAACCTCGTTCACTGTGTCCACTGTCAGGATGAAATGCACTCTCTGAGGCCTGAAAACACAACCCAGACAGGGAATGCAGACAGACCGGCAGAGCAACATGGCATCAGAGATTGCTGAAAGGATGGTGGGGGGCTCACAGCAAATACAGCCCCAGGCAAGGTATCTGGAGGACAACCCAGGTGAGCTTCTACTGGTGATTTGGGGCCAGAAGCTGTCAATTGTTTTTGAAAGTTTTGATAGGTTTTTTTGTGCCAGTTCTCTATTTTTTTTTCTTTAAACAGAAAAACTAAACTATTGTGGTGTCAATAGGGTGAATCAAAGCTGTAGAAAAGCTTGTTAGGTAGCAGAGAGAAAAACCGAAATGAAAAAGCATGGGCTACAGAAAAGAAATGAAAATGAGTCTTAGAGCATGGGTCAGTCAGAGTCAACTAAAATCTCCTAACCTGCAGCCCAGCAAGTACATTACCTGTCTGCCCACCTCTACCCTGAGGTACGGGATCTGTTTGCGTAACCCTGCCAGGCCTTTTGTTTTTAGTCTGAAGAAGTAGAGTTCACTGTGTGCAAAGCTCTGAATATTTTCTTTCCAACCTTAAAACTCATAAGAACATAGACAATGGGCTTTAAAAGGCAGTGGAGGCTGGGCATGGTGGCACATGCCTGTAATCCCAGCACTTTGGGAGACTGAGGCAGGCAAATCACTTGAGGTCAGGAGTTCCAGACCAGCCTGGCCAACATGGTGAAACCCTGTCTCTACTAAAAATAGAAAAATTAGCTGGGTGTGGTGGCGGGTGCCTGTAATGCCAGCTACCAGGGAGGATGATGAAGGAGAATTACTTGAACCTGGGAGGCAGAGGTTGCAGTGAGCTGAGATCGTACCACTGCACTCCAGCTTGGGTGACAGAGCAAGACCCTGTCTCCAAAAAAAGGCAGTGGAGTCTCCAAACTCTCATGATTCCATATTCCTATCAGTTAAAAATTGTATTTTTATTTAATAATACATTATAAGAATATACTAATATATTAACCTAAGGTACACACGATAAAGCATATATATATAAAATAGAGGCTAAACAATGTATGAGATAAAACATACAAAAGGAGGTATTTTCTTCCCATACCATAGGAGATTGCTGGGAACAAAGGGAATATCAAGAGAGTGAGAAGCTGATAAATTCTTTCAAGAGGGGATTATAAATACAGAAGGTGGAAAATATAGTGGACTAGAAATCCTGAAAACTTTCCCATTCTAAAATAAACAGGCAAACAATAACAACTTAAAATGCTGACCAAAATGTTTTAAGAATTCAGAACTTCTGAGACAGTAGAGAAAGGCTCAGAATATGAAAATAAAGTGGCTGTGGAAGCCAACAGCTGCCCCCCAGGGGTTCCTTGGCCCTATCATCTTTTCTAGAGCCTTGGGGTTTTATGGCCATGGTGGGGCAGGTGTCCAGACAATGGATCACCACCAGTTAGGGAATTGGAAGGGCAGGAATTCTCTACATGCTACAACCACTGGTGGGAGAAAAAACAAAAAAAAACAAAAAAAAAACAAAAAACACTAGGAAAAAATTCTGCTTCACAAGGGCACAAACAAGAAAATGTGATTATTTTTGCTTTGGCCTTTGGAAGATGAAAAATCTCTTTTAAGTATTTGTAACCACAGGCCTGTGCCCATACATGTTTGGAGCTTGGACACTACCTATGTATACCAGAAAAACCCAGAGATATTAGTTAATGAGAA